TCAGTTTATCAATTTGAGACCTTCTGCTATGACGTATGAAGATTTAGTCGCCTTATCTCTCCATCCTCCATTATAGTGTAGTATCATTTTTAGTAAATTAATGAAAAATCATTGCACGAAAATGTCATTGCAGAACCAAGTAATATCCTATGATTACACTTTTCTTTTTGTATGCCTTTTGGTTTCTCTTTGTCTTGCTAAGCATCTTTCCCTTCTTGCAATGTTTTTCCTTATAATCCTCCCTTTTTGTTAGTGTTTCTTTGTTTCTTCTTGTTTCTCAAAAGCACCACCATATTTATCTGGTGCTATTATTATTTTCAGTAAGACTTTCGCAGAGCCCTCTGTGCTGCTCCAACCTCTATAGATGGATTTCTAGGCCTGCTTTATGAGATGTCCCCTGAAGACCGCCTAATTTCTCATCTTTCGCTTTGGTGGTGTACTATTTTGTTTTATACAGCATATTTTCTGGAAACTTCCTCAGGCAAGAGAAACAAAACAAAATACTTTTTGAGTCTTTCCATGTCAGAAAATGTATTTACGCTACATTTGAATAATAGTCTTGCTGAATGCAGATTAGGAGATTAGAGGCCATATCCCTTGTGGTTTGGAAGGCATTGCTCTATTGTTAGGCATTGTTTAATTTTTGGATTGTTTGTTGTAAAATTTAGAAATACGATTGATTTTTGTATATTCGTTTTGTATGCTGCAAACTTGCTGAACTTGTTTATTATTTCTCATAGTTTTTTAGTGGATTCTTTACCATTATCTGTATGCCATCTGTGAATAGAGATAGATTCACTTTTTCTTCCTTCCATCTGGATGTCTTATATTTCTTTTTCTTGCCCAGTTGCCTTGGCTAGAACCTCTGGTACAAATGTGAACATACTGTATTGTTCCCAATCTTAGAAGGCAATCATATAGTTTTTCACCAATAAGCATTTAATCATGAAAGGGTGTTGCTCTTTGCTTTGGTTTATTGAGATGACAGTGTGCTTTTTATTTTTTATTGATAAGCTATGTTACATTAATCGATTTTTGGATGTTAATTCCTGGTATTAATCCCACTTGGGCCTGGTATGTAATTCTTTTTATAATCTAATTATCATTTATATATCTATATAAATTTTATGTTTATATGTTCCTTTTCTACATGTCTTTGTATAGGCTTGCTAGTATTTTGTTGAAGATTTTTACATCCATATTCACAAGAGATAGTTGTATATAATTGTCTTCTGCTGTTTTTGTTTGGTATCAGTGTTATACTGGTCTCAGAAATGAGTTGGAAAGTGATGTTCTGCCTCTCCTGGGAATATAGCCCTCTGACTGGGAACTGTGGGAAGAGGGACCCTGTGTTCTTGGCTGCACCTGTCTGAAATGGAGTTTCTGTCTCTGAGCTTGGAAGAATGAGGGATACTATAGACAAATGCCACAGACTTTTGTTCTTATGAAATTTTAGTCTGTTTTCTTGAATAAATGTGTCTTCATTTGCTCTATGGATGTAGAACAATCTTCAGAGATTTTAAATGATTGATTTTTGAAAATAGTTTTCACAAGTTTCACTGAGCAGCAGGTCTGTGGAGCCCTTTACATTGCCATGTCAGAAGCCAGAAGATAATTGTCAAAAGAACTCCAATTATCTTCCTTTCTTATTTCCTCTAAGGGTCTTTTCTTTTTTAAAAAATTATCTTGGTTTCTTTATTTAATATTGGAGGGATCCCTGAAATGTCTTGTGATCTTTAACTGTCCATTCATATTTAAAACCGAGGCATTCAAAAGCTGATTGCTCCGTGGAAGGGCAAGGGCAGAATAGAGGAGACCAATGTAAGTCAGTTATAGAACATATCTCTAGGTTACTGGGCAAATTATGGTTTCAGAATAGAATATAAACCAAAGCAAAACTTCATAAGTCTTGACCAAGGGTAATTGTGCTAATCACCTCATCTTTACTAATTGGAGCAAATCAACACTATCTAAATTGGAAAAATACAGCCCTTCTCCCCACCCTTGGCATTCTCCCTAAAACTCTCCAAATCTGAATAAATTCAAAAACTATTTAAAAAATTTTTAGAAGACTCTTTTAGGGATCAATATCTTATGGGTAAAGAAACATATGCCTGAGGTTCAGTAATTCTTTTAATTTACCTCTGTTTTTCCTCTGGTTAAGTTAAAACAAAATCAGCTTAACTTTTTTTTCCTGAACAATATCATATATAGTATTATCCTACCCTTATAAAGTAATTTCTGTTTACCTCTTTGACTACCTACATTGCTTATATATCTACTAATCTTCTGTCTTTATGTATGCACAGAAAGAAGTCTGTAATAATGTTTATCAATTACTAATGCAGGCTATTTCTGGATGATAGGAATTGAGGTGCTTTAATACTTCCTTCTGATCTTTTTATTGATTAACACTTTAAATAATAAACACGTATAATTAAAAAAAAAAGTCAATACAATGTAAAAGCAAAACTCAATTCACTAACAGATTCCATCAACCAAAAAATCAAGGCTGGGATTGTGGTGAGGCAGGAGAGGACTTTAGGATGCAAAATTTAAGGAGGCACTTCCTTGTAGAGTCATGCAAGTACACCCTAGGCTCCTCACTTTCTTCACCATTAGTCCTGGACAGCCCTGCAAACAATACAGGAAAAACTGGCAGGTCAATGTAGGTGAATAATGGCGTGTTTGGACTTCTAGGTAGGTGAGTAAAGAATACTCTTCCTTTCTTACAGTAAATTAATTTTTAGTATTCTTTTTAACTGTCTGTAAAAGAATCATAGCTTTTACATTTTCAAGGTTAATTGATTAGACACTCTGAAAATAACCAACACCTAGTCTTCCCATTCCTTTCCTCTTCCTCAACTCAAGACATGAGTAAATGTGTGGCAGGCTCTGGCCATGGGAGGCACTGAAGGAAATGCCCTGTCAGCTCCAGCATCTTGCTCCTCCTTCATTTAGGACTCTCCTGATCACCTTAGCGAAAACACTCTCCTTTGTCTTTCCAGCCCACGTTCCTTCTTTAGCATCACCTCAGCAGTTATTACATTCCAAATACATAGATTATATATGTAGTTTTATTTAGTATATTATGTGTAGATTGCCTGTCTTGCCTTATTAGAATATAAGCTCTACAGTGCAACCCTCATGGAAACATAATGTCACACAATAGGTTTCAGTTAATATCTGCTGAATGGAAGAGTGAATGAATTCATTATACATTTATTGAATAATTGTGAATCTGATGCTGTTACGACAATATGAAGATGAATAAAATACAGTCTTTGCTCCTTCCAGAGAGAGTCCACATGCCAGCCTCCCTTTCTGTCTCTGCTCGCAGAGATGGTCATTTACCTCACAAGATCATTGTCTCACAAACACATACATTTTAAACTCCCTTTTCCTTTTCTCATACTCTCTTTCTTTCAACTTTTTTTTCTTATTCTCTTTTTTTTCCTTCAACTCTTGCCCCATTATCATAGGGAAATATACTTTCCTTCCTTAAGAAAAACCACACTGACTAATGAGCATAACAAGTAGTACTAGTAATTGCACATTTATTAAGATAAAGTTAACTTTGAATAAAACAACCATGACATTATTAATAGTGAACAACTATTAAGTGTTTACTATAGACTTGACTCTCTGCTAAGCAATTTATATGCATTGCCTCATTTAATCAGTACAGATAATGAACTATGGCAGTGAGAAGCAACTTGTCCAGGTTGAAGACAATAACTGGTCTGAATCTAAGTCAGTTTGATTCTAGAGACCAGGGGTAACAGAAAGACTATGCCGTTCATTAATAATGTAACCCCTCTGTGGGTTTTCTCTCCATCCCCTTCCTACACTATAACCAGTTGCTCTCTCCATGTTCCTACAGCACTTTGCTCATACCCTAACTTCAGCTTTTATCAAATAAATTGGTAGGTATGTGTCTGAAAGGTTTGGCTGGGTACATTTTCACTTACTACCAGTGTTATGAAGTATTTGTTCTCCTTTGTTATTGTAATTTGGGTTGTCATTGTAATTTGGATGAAGAAGGAGCTTTACATATATTATATTCAGGATTCAAAATCTGGTGTAATTTGGGCAAACTATTTAACTCTTCTGAACCTTAGGTTTCTGAAGTATAACATGGGAATAATGATGCCAATGTTACAGTGTAATGAGAATAACAAGATGTGTCTGTGAAGTGTCTAGCCTAGTGACTAGCGCAACACACATACTTTCTTCTTATCTCTTTCTTTTTCAATCCCCTGATTACCTTGATTCTGACTCTTCTGCTGAACAGTATACTGCATTTCAGCTGTTATGTGTTACCTGTTATGGTCTACATTAGTTATCTATTACTGTGCAAGAAATTACCACAAACTTAGTAGCTTTAAATAACAAATATTTATTAAGTTTCTATGGTTTAAGGATCTAGAAACGACTCAACTAGGTGGTTCTAGTTCAGTCTCTCATGAGATTGCGGTCATCTCAAGGCTCAATGAGGTTAAGAATCTGCTTCCGGGGAGATTGGATTAAACATGAAAGAGTGAGAGACGTTCCCAGATCTCTCCGCTTGAAACAACAATAAGCTGAACACCTAAAACTCAACAAAAAAACACCCAAACTGCACACCAGCATATCTGAGCATGGGATCTGCTCATAAGAGCTACCACAGGTCAGAACCCTGGGTGTTGGGCGGTGGACCAGGAGAAACAAAGAAGCTCCTTCTAGCATCCAGAGCTCCCTGTAGGAGGAGGGGGAGTGGAGAAGCTGTGGAGAGTTCCCTATCTGGGAATGATGAGAGCTTCACGCAGCCAATGGCAGTGCCCAATCATCAGGGAAGAAGGCAGAGAAATGGGGATGGCAGAAAAGCGGGGACAGCAGAGAAACAGCAGTTGATTTTTACCAGCTGTGGTTCCAAAACAGAGTCTGAGCCACAGCCCTCATCCCCCAACCCAGAGGGCCCCCCCCGCCCCGCCATACCTTCCGAGATGGAATGACGCGAAGTCAGGGGAATCTGAGCAAACACTACTGAAACTGTAGCTGACACTGACAGGAATTGAGACTGAGGGTAGAGAGAGTGATTAAACATCTATAAGGAAAAAAAAAGACATTATTAAGAGTGTATATATAGCAGAGATCCAAGAGGCTTAGACGCCACCTCCTAGAAACCAAAAGAAAAACACCTTTGCAACAGGCTAGGGATCATTATATAATAAATCTTTCTGGGGAAAAAAAAAAAAAAGCAGAATACACTTCCATTAATGCCCAAGCAGAGAAATAGTCCATTAAACACTATGAACAACCAAGGTGACAAGGCATCTCAGAAAGAAAGAGAAAAATCTCCAGAAAATAAGCTTACATAGAAATATGTAACTTAAATGACAGAGAATTCAAGATGGTACTTCTGAAAAAACTCAGTGAGATCTGAAACAAATCTTATCAACAATTTTAGGAATTGAAAAAACAACTAGATGAGCAGAATGAGTTCTTTAGCAAGGAGACTGAAACTGTCAGAAAGAACAGAATAGATCTTCTGGAGATAAAGAACACAGTGCGAGATTTGAAAAATGAAATAACAAGCTTAGGAAATAGAGCCAACCAAATGGAGGAAAGGATCAGTGATATCGAAGACAGAAATCTAGAAATAAATCAGAAGGAAGAGAGAAACTGAAGAATGAAAAATAATGAATGAGAAATACAAGAACTAGCTTATA